TGGCGGTTAACCAGTCAGACCATCATCAAGGAACAGGAGGCAGGTTTCATAGTGGACTGCAGTCAATTACACTGTGAAACCATGACAATGCATTTATATCAATCCATCATCAATAAATCTATTTATTGACTTTCTCTTGTATCTTGTCACAGATGCTGAACTGACAGCACCTCTTAATGCGCATTTGTACTCAATGCATGTCAGATATTCTGACAGAATAACGGCTCAAATTTATGTTAAAGGTCAGTGTTAGCCCCGCCCAGCCCCGCCCTCCACTTTGATTGGGGAATTATTTTATGGTGACACTGCAGGAACTGGAACCAGGCGATGATAATAATGAACAGAGCAATCAAAAGCATATTTAATAATTGTCTTGACTGGCTAATAAGTTTCTATTTTAATAATGTAATGACATATTTAATAATTGTGTATTAAATAAACCCTTTAAATAATTATATCATTTTCACCTTTGATATTTAGATAGATAGATATAATTTATTGTCATTGAACAGGATTCAACAAAATTTCTATTGCAACTCCTGTGCAAAAAGTCAAATATATACCATAAATAAAATAAACAAACACACAATAATAATAACAATACACACAATAATAATAATAACAATATATACAACTAAAATTAACTAAAGGCACTCAACCATGCCAAAGAAGAAGCAGCAGGTCCAATTATGGTAAAGTGTAGATGATGTGACAGTGGGGGTGGGGGTTATGATATGTGTGGGAGGAGGCGGCAGGGAGTAATGGCTCTGACGGCTGTGGGGAAGAAACTTTTTCTCAGTCTGTTTGTTGTAGTCCGTATATTCCTGTACCGCTTGCCTGATGGCAGCGGCACAAACAGACTGTGGCCCGGGTGGCTGGAATCCATGGCTATGGATCCAGCTCCCTTCTTGAGCCGGCCTTTGTAAATAGAGTCCAGGTCCGGGAGGGGGCATCCCACAATGCCTTCTGCTGTTCTCACCACCCGTGTCAGTTGTTTCCTCTCCAGTGCTGTGCAGCCACCATACCACACAGTCACGTTGAGGCAGAGGACGCTCTCGATCGTCGCCCTGTAAAAGTTCAGGAGCAGCCGTGAGGAAAGTCCAGCCCGTCTCAGTTTCCTTAGGAAGAAGAGCCTTTGTTGTGCTTTCTTCACCAGGTGGGAGGTGTTTGTATTCCAGGAGAGGTCAGACGTGATGTGGAGGCCCAGGAACTTGATGTTGTCCACACGCTCCACCTCTTCTCCATCTATGATAAGGGGAGTGTGACCCGTCCTCCTGGACCTTCTGTAGTCCACAATGACCTCCTTGGTCTTCCCTGTGTTCAGTACCAAGTTATTGGCTGAACATCACTGCGTGAGCTGCAGAATCTCCTCTCTGTAGGGGGTCTCGTTGTTGTCTGAAATGAGACCCACTACTGTTGTGTCGTCCGTGAACTTGACGACTGTGTTGGTGGGGTGGATGGCAACGCAGTCGTGTGTAAACAGGGTGAAGAGCTGGGCTGAGCACACAGCCCTGTGGCGTGCCTGTGTTGAGGACCAGTGGGGACGATGTTGAGCCACCTATTCTCACCACCTGAGGCCTGTTGGTGAGGAAGTCTCTGATCCAGTGGCACAGTGAAGCAGGCAGCCCCACCTGGAGTAGCTTCAGCACCAGCTTGTCTGGGATGACGGTGTTAAATGCTGAGCTGAAGTCTACAAATAGCATCCTGACGTAAGTGTTGGGATGCTGCAGATGGGACAGGGCTGTGTGCAGAGTGATGGAGACAGCATCCTCTGTTGACCGGTTCGCTCTGTAGGCGAACTGAAGGCTGTCCAGGTCTGCAGGGATCAAGTGTCTGATGTACCTCAGAAGAATCCTCTCAAAGCACTTCATGATCACCGGGGTCAGAGCGACGGGCCGGTAATCGTTCAGGCTGGTGATGGTCGTCTTCTTCGGTACAGGGATGATGGTGGGAAGACTTGAGACACTCAGGAACCATGGTGAACTGCAGGGACAGATTGAAAATGTCCAGAAACACTCCTGCCAGCTGGTCGGCGCACGTTTTCAGCGTCTGGCCTGACACCTTGTCCGGTCCTGTAGCTTTGCGGGTGTTGATCCTCCTCAGGGTGGACGTCACCTGGTGCTGCTGCAGGACGAGAGGCTGGTACTGCTCTTCCAGTCGGGGTAGATGTACAGCTTCTCTCTGCTGCCCACTGTGTCAAGCGGGCAAAGAAGCTGTTTAAGATGTCAGGCAGGGTGGGGTCGCGGCTGGTCAGCTGAGTGCTGTGTTTGTAGTCCGTCATGGTCCTGATGCCTCTCCACATGCTACTGGGGTCGTTGTTGGTGAAGTGTTCCTCAATCCGCTGTTTGTACTGGAGCTTGGCCTGCTTAATTCCTTTTTTCAGTTCCGACCGGGCCCTGCTATAAGCCAACCTGTCTCCAGATCTGTAGGCAGCATCCCGGGCTTTCAGCAGGGCCCGTACTGTGCTGTCCAGCCATGGTTTCTGGTTTGGAAACACTTTTATGGTCTTAACAGGGAGGACAGCGTCGGTGCAGAACTGAACATAGGACAGAACGGACGATGAGTATTTCCTCCAAGTCTGCTCCGACCTTAACACTCCAGTCTGTGTGCTCAAAGCAGTCCTGAAGTGCAGAGGAGGCCTCCTCAGTCCAGACCTGAACTGTTCTGGTGGTCGGCTTAGTTCTGCAGGCCAGAGGCTTGTAGACAGGAATCAGCTCCACTGAGATGTGGTCAGACATGCCCAGATGTGGACCTGCTACAGCTCGGGGGGTATTGCAGTTAATCTTCCAAATTGTCCAATATTGATGTCAAATATTTTCAATAGGACCATTTTGCCATTATTTTCTGCATGTGTGCGATTAACAACAATCACCCACTGTTATCAGTTCTGCTGTGAATCACAGGAAAGTAAAGGCTGAGATTTATTTGTTCTTTTGAACGTTTGTGTTGAGTGTGTGAGTGGAGCAATGTCTGACAATATCAGTGGGTGAGATTAAAAACCCATTAAGTGTTTCGCGTCAGGCATTTTGTCATTCTTTAACGTGATATATATTCTGTAGCTACTTGGAGGAAGAAAACTTTTTCTAACATTAGTCAGGAAGCCTTTGGATTAAGCTATCGCCATCTTGTTTGCTCACCTGGAGATCCATAATATTATATTTTGACTCGCATCTAGTTCTATTCTGGTCAGAAGAACCTCATTGATTGAAATATTGTTCATTTTTGTAAGACTGTAAGTTTAGAAGAACCCAAGAAAATCCTGTTTTGATACAGTGAGGTTAAAGTGAAGAATTTCTTGTTTGATTGACATTTAAAAGCTTTTGTTTTTTCTTTTTGTCCAGATCTCTCACAATGCAGTGAAGAGGGGGAGATTCTCAATGAAACAGAAGCACAGAGGAAGCAACTCATCCCTCATGGCTCTGCAGAACTGAGAACCAGGATCAGGAAGGAAGCAATTCTGAAGACCCAGGAAAAAAGAGAAAGGAAGAACAGAAACAAAAAAAGCACAAGACGGCTCACAGAGTGCAAAAATCATATACTTGTAAAGTTTGTGATAAAACTTTTTCTCTAAACGGTAACTTGAACAGACACATGATAACTCACACAGGAGTAAAACCTTTCACTTGTTCAACCTGTGGGAAAAGTTACAGACAAAAGGATGGTTTAATGTATCACATGAGAATTCACACAGGTGAGAAGCCTTTCTCATGTGGAACCTGTGGAAAAAGTTTCTTCATAAAAAGTGATTTAAATGTTCATATGAGAATTCACACAGGTGAGAAGCCTTTCTCTTGTGGAACCTGTGGAAAAAGTTTCTTCATAAAAAGTTCTTTAAATGTTCATATGAGAATTCACACAGGTGAGAAGCCTTTCACCTGTGGGACTTGTGGAAAGAGTTACCGTTACAAACGGACTTTGTCTAATCACATGACAATTCACACAGGAGAGAAGCCTTTCTCATGTGGAACTTGTGGAAAAAGCTTCTGTCAAAAAATCATTTAAACGTTCACATGAGAATTCACACAGATGAGAAGCCTTTCTCATGTGGAACCTGTGGAAAAAGTTTCTGTCAAAAAATCAATTAAATGTTCACATGAGAATTCACACAGGTGAGAAGCCTTTCTCTTGTGGAACCTGTGGAAAAGTTTCTTCATAAAAGTGATTTAAATGTTCATATGAGAATTCACACAGGTGAGAAGCCTTTCTCTTGTGGAACCTGTGGAAAAAGCTTCTGTCAAAAAATTATTTAAAAGTTCACATGAGAATTCACACAGGTGAGAAGCCTTTCTCATGTGGAACTGTGGAAAAGCTTCTGTCAAAAAATTCATTTAAACGTTCACATGAGAATTCACACAGATGAGAAGCCTTTTCATGTGGAACCTGTGGAAAAAGTTTCTCATAAAAGTGATTTAAATGTTCATATGAGAATTCACAAAGGTGAGAAGCCTTTCTCATGTGGAACCTGTGGAAAAAGTTTCTCCATAAACAGGGATTTAAATGTTCATATGAGAATACACACAGGTGAGAGCCTTTCTCATGTGGAACTTGTGGAAAAAGTTTCTTCAAAAAAGATTCTTTAAATGTTCATATAGAGAATTCACAAAGGTGAGAAGCCTTTCTCATGTGGAACTGTGGAAAAAGTTTCTTCATAAAATGTCAATTAAATGTTCATATGAGAATTCACACAGGTGAGGAGCCTTTCACCTGTGGGACTTGTGGAAAGAGTTTCAGTTACAAAGCGACTTTAAGTAATCACATGAGAATTCACACAGGTGAGGAACCTTTCACCTGTGGGACTTGGAAAGAGTTTCAGTTACAAAGCGACTTTAAGTAATCACATGAGAATTCACACAGGTGAGAAGCCTTTCTCATGTGGAACCTGTGGAAAAAGTTTCTCTGAAAAATAAATTAAATTGTCATATGAGAATACACACAGGTGAGAAACCTTTCACCTGTGGGACTTGTGGAAAGAGTTACAGTTACAAAGGGACTTTATGTAATCACATGAGAATTCACACTGGTGAGAAGCCTTTCTCATGTGGAACTTGTGGAAAAAGTTTCTTCAAAAAAGATTCTTTAAATGTTCATATGAGAATTCACAAAGGTGAGAAGCCTTTCTCATGTGGAACCTGTGGAAAAAGTTTCTTCATAAAATGTCAATTAAATGTTCATATGAGAATTCACACAGGTGAGGAGCCTTTTACCTGTGGGACTTGTGGAAAGAGTTTCAGTTACAAAGCGACTTTAAGTAATCACATGAGAATTCACACAGGTGAGAAGCCTTTCTCATGTGGAACATGTGGAAAAAGTTTCTCTGAAAAATATAAATTAAATTGTCATATGAGAATTCACTCAGGTGAGAAGCCTTTACTTTGTGGGACTTGTGGAAAAAGTTTCAGCCATAAAGAAACTTTAAATGTTCACATGAGAATTCACATAGGTGAGAAGCCTTTCTCATGTGGGACCTGTGGAAAAAGCTTTTGTCAAAAAAATAATTTAAATGTTCACATGACAATTCACACAGGTGAGAAGCCTTTCTCATGTGGGACCTGTGGAAAAGTTTCACCAATAAAGGAAGTTTAAATGTTCACATGAGAATTCACACAGGTGAAAAAACATTTTCATGTGGGACCTGTGGAAAACGTTTCACCACTAAATGCAGTTTCAATGTTCACATGAGAATTCACACAGGTGAGAAGCCTTTCTCATGTGGGACCTGTGGAAAAAGTTTCAGAATGAAAAAACAATTACTTAAACACATAAAGATTCATATGAGTGCTAAACAGTGACATGCGGTGAGGTTCATAGCTGGTGAGGCAATGCCTCATGACGTATAAATTTAGACACCATGCATGTTATTGTTTACGAAGAGAAATTTTGCGCATTCATGCAACGCTGGAGGGCAAAAAGACCATTCTTTTACATGTCATTCCTGGCTGTGTTAACTCATTGAAACTTAGAAATGTAGGTATTATGGGTTGTTGTTATGTTGCTGTTGTTTTAAGATGTTGTTCAATGTTCCCCTTTTTAACGTTAAGCCCCTACCCCTTCAACTGTCTCTGTACGGCCCTGTTCATATGTAAGGCAACGCGTATTGTTTTTACATCCTAGCTTGGTAATCCCCAGAGTGCTAATGTTGTTAGCATCTAACTTAGTGCTGAGTCCTGGACAGATAATGTGTTTATTCAGTGGGACCTTCATGCTAACAATTATAATCTACCCAGCTGTTCAGTCTTTTCCTGACCCCCATCTGAATTTCTTGCAGCATCCAGGTCACATGTCTGAAGCATGTGACCTGGATGCTGCAGGTCACATGCAGCATCCAGGTCAACTCTGTGATGTTTGTTTGAAAGGAAAAAAACTCAAATATTATTGAGATCTGTTGAGATTTGATTTAGAGCTAACAGCAGAGAGATTTTCCTTTTTACCAAATATTTGTTTCACAGAAGTCATTGTTAAAATGTGTTTGTATGTACATGCTCTACATTATCAAAATATTTCTCACCTATTGTAATGATCAGACTCAGGTGACCCAATCCCTTTCATGGTACAGGTGCATAAAGTGAAGCACCAGGCAGACCAGAACCAGATTAGTTGTAAAAGATGTTTAGGTTCTGCAACAGGAAACCAGGATTATTACAGTACGTTGGTATTTTTATACAGCTGCAAAGTGACTTGATTCTTAGCAGGGATCAGATTCAGTGAAACACTTTTTGCTCCTTTGGGAGGCATCACAATGTTTTCCTCTGTTGTTTTAAATTTCTAACATATTTTCTTTGTATGTTTTTAAATGAATGATTAATAACATCTCTTTGTTCAGGTACATGTATGATGATACAAGCAAAATAATGACTTTGTGGTTTTAATTAAAGTTATGTGTCTTCTTCCATCGCCTATAGAGTGACTTTGTATATTTTCACTTCTTTCCATGGAAACATGAATCTTTTTTTAACAAGACTCAGTTATTAATATTTTCAAGTAAAAAAAATCACCATATTCCTCTAAAGTCATTCAGTGTTAAATTTTAAAACTTAATCATAACCTACAATCTGATACATTAGATTGTTTTATAAACTAAAAAGATCATACTCGTAAATTTTCATTCGATGTTCCAATATGGATCTTTTGTAATTATAAATATCTTTTGATAAACTGACTCCAAGCTCACATTTCTAAAGGTTTTCCATTAGTCAGAATGATGTAATGTTCTAAAAATAAATGCGCCTCTTCAATTATCTGCAGAAAAGGCTCATAAACAGAAATGAAAGGCTTGGAAACCTCCATGTGTTTGGTAATTAAGTTAATACTGTGTTTCACTGAAATATATATGAACCTTTTATTAATGCTGTAAAATATTTAATTTAGTTGTATGTTCAGAGGAAACTCGAAGCGGAACTATAAATCGTTTACAGTTTCTTCCGTGCAGTCAAAGTGAAACACAGGAACCATCTCAGAGCGGACGAGGGAGCATTAGCTGTTCCTTTGTTAGAGGACGGTTTGAAAACAGGTTTGGTGTTTTCAGTGAAAATGTCTTCAGTTCAGCCTCAGAGAGAGTTTATCAAGCAGCAGGAAACTCCTGCTGAAGAAACATTCACAGAGTGGAAAGAAATCAACGTTAAGATGGAGGAAGAGATGGACGATCAGCGCAGACTGATGGATTTTACCCGGATACCCAAGATCATCTTGCACCGGATAGGTACGAAACAGCTTCACGGTTTACTGATTAATCAGGTTAAAGAGAGTTTTTACAGATGAATAATCGTTGTGTTCGGAAACCTATTTTTAGAATCCGCTTAAATTAAATAGAAACAGAAAATCCCTGGAGAAATGTAACCGGGGCATGCTAAAGTGTGGCCCCAGTTTGGACCCAGCGCTCTGATGCTAACAATTAGCATCAATGCTAAGCTAAGCTAAATTTTAGTCAATAGCCTGTGGAAAGTCACAAGCATGTTGACTAACATGGACTTCCTCCATTCAGTTTGTTAAAATTAGTGTATAATCTAAAATGAGCCAAAATGCTAATGTTAGCCTAAATGCTGCTAGTAGCATGTGGGCATCATTACAATGTTGTCTTACATTGACTTCCTGCATTCAGGGTCCTAAACATGGCTAATAAATAATTAAAATAGCTAGAAGCTTATTGCAGGGAAAAGTCTGATGCTTGTGCAGCAAAGCAGAGCCCTAACCTGAGAGGAAAAGATCATGCAGGCTAATATTATTGCACTGTCTCTGAGTCGCCCTGCGACAGACTGAATAGAATAGAATTCAACTTTATTGTCATTGTACTGTCACATGTACAAAGCAAGAAGTGCTATACATTTGCGCGCCGCAGATGTTTCTGAATTGTAGGTGGCTGTGTGGATGCCTGTTGAAAAATGCCTCTTGTGTGACAAAACCGTTTGCAAAACATTATTATAAATCCCATTTGAAGCAAAAATGTTTAATGTTGCATTTGGAAAATTAGTTTCAAAGCAAGTTTCAACAGAGCAGCGTTCAGTGCGCTTCGAAAACACTGCATGGGAACAGAACCAGATTAATGAGTAACACCACAATACCGAAGATCATGTTGCAGCGGATAGGTACGAAACAGCTTCACTGTTTACTGATAGACTGGTTAAACATCGCTGCATCTGAAACCTGTTTAAACTTTCATCAAGCTTCCGAAACTTCCTGATGTCGGTGATTATATGCGACGTCGCACCAGCGCCCACCATCAAACCTCTCCTCCTGATGTCGACCACTCGCGTGTCAGCGTCGCTCACCCGGACAGCAAACTCTTTGTCGCCGCCCGTCTCTTGGACTACTTTCCGTGTGTTGTCCCGTTGTTTTCTCCGTCTGCAGGTTGCGTTGCTGTGACTGTTATTCTTACAGTAACTGCTTCCGCTGGCAGGTTCTGCTGATGTGGCCTTTCATCCCACATTTAAAGCATATGATCTCAGAACTTCCTGCTCCAGGATCATTTGCACCTCTTGGTGAGCATTTCGTGCCAGAATGTGTTTAGCCTTCATCACATTGTCCTCAGATACTGTGGCACGCATATTTTCAATGTCTTCAAAACTTCTGAGTTTAGTCTTAAACTCTTCAAAAGTCAACTTATCACCATCTTCGCTTTGCGTAATATAAACAGCAAATGGCTTCAATGTCCCTGGAAGTCCTTTCAGGACCATGGCGATCAGAAGTCCATCGCTCAGCTCCTCACCTGCATTCCTTAAAGCGGTGATCGCGGATCAGCTCTGATGATGAACTCGGTCACCGACTCACTGAGTAATTTCTGCAGTGAAGTCAGTTCAGTGTGCAAATTAATCACTCTGGGCTTTCCTTTGCCGGCGTAATGGGCCCGCAGGATTCCAAGAGCTGCACGTCCGTCTTCTGCCGCATCATGCATGATAAGTGATAGACTCTTGTCGTCCAAAAACTGAATGAGCTCGGCATAAAACTCAGCATTTTTCTTTGCGTCTTCCTCTTCATTCTCATCATCGGAGGAGCTTGTCAAGATTGTCTGTTTCAACTCTTGCAGTCGAAGATGTCCTCAAAACTTGGTTTCCCATAGTTTGTCATTTTTCTCGTCTCCATCAAAAAGAAGTCTTGACCAGCGGCTGTGTGCCATGTCTTTTTCTCTTCTGTTCAGTTTCCTTGTTTACTTACACAGCAGATGTTCACGGTCTGTCGATGCATTCACGTGTTTCTTCATTGATTTTGGGCCCATAACCTGTTAACAGAATCAGTTTTCGGCACAGCGTTGAACGTGACATCAAGAGACTCACACGGTTTTGGCTTTCGTGTTGCTCCTTTGTTTGGAGGACACACCCTTTGTACACAAGTGTGTTAAATTAGACGGGTCACGTGATGTGACACACAATGATCCAATAATGATGAAAAACAACAAATGAGAAAACAAAAACATTCATAATGTCAACAGTAAGTTTGCATTTTAATAATGTAATTGCATATTTCATAAGGTTTGCAGTAAATAAGACTTAATTTATATTATTGTCCATTTTCACCTTTCATATTTAATCTTCCAAATTGTCCAATATTCATGTCAAATATTTTCAATAGGACCATTTTGCCATTATTTTATGCATGTGCGCGATTAACAACAATCACCCACTGTTATCAGTTCTGCTGTGAATCACAGGAAAGTAAAGGCTCAGATTTATTTGTGCTTTTGAACGTTTGTGTTGAGTGTGTGAATGGAGCAATGTCTGACAATATCAGTGGTTGAGATTAAAAACACTGTGTTTTGCTTTAGGTATTTTATGTCACTCTTTCATGTTGATATATATCTTGTAGCTACATGGAGGAAGAAAACTTTTTCTGACATTGGTCTGGAAACCACTAGATTAAGTTATCGCCATCTATTTTGCTCACCTGGAGGTCCTTAATGTCATATTTTCACTCACATCCAGTTCTATTCTGGTCAGAAGAACCTCATTGGTTGAGATAATATTCATTCTTGTCAGATTATAATTTTAGAATAACCCAAGAAAATCCTGTTTTGATACTTTGAGGTTAAAGTGAAGAATTTCTTGCATGATTGACATTTAAAAGCTTTTGTTTTGTCTTTTTGTCCAGATCTCCCACAATGTTGTGTGTGTGAAGAGGAAGAGATTCTCAATGAAACAAAGCCACAGAGGAACCAACTCATTTCTCATGTCTCTGCAGAGGATGAGAACCAGG